AAACATTAACCGTAATGTCGATTACATGATATTGTTCGATTTCTTTGGAAAATGCAATTACGACAAATAAGAAAGATCAACAGAAAAAAAAATACATTAACAACAAACGAGTTGCCATCAGTTTTTCTTCTTGCGTTCGTGTCTGTACAGGGCAGTGAAAATGTGCAGATAGAATTTGTAAACAAACAACTGCTGAAGAAAAGTTTAATTGCATGTTTCTTTCTTTCAATGTGATTATATCTTATATAAAGAACTTTTTTGTTTATTATATTATATTTTGTTAATTTAAAATCATCTAATATCACTAGAATCTATGTCCGAAGTATGATTAAAAGCATCTGAGTGATATATAAATGAGAATGACTATTTCAAAAACCTTCGTTTCGAAAAAACAAACACGAAACAATATGAAATATTTTCTATCATCGATAAATTTGACTTCTGGCATTCTGCTGAGTCAAAATACTAAAATAAAATGTATCATACTATAGTAAAATTTAGTCCAAAAAACATGTTGAAAAATAAATCAATGATCGAGATTGGATCACTTTGATATGGCTGAATCTTATCGAAAAAATATTAATTCGATTTCCCACAACAAAAAAAATATTTAACGTGTCAAAGTGTAAACATACGACATGTTTTTTATTAGTGTGAATGCATACTGTTTGTGATTATATCGTATGAAAAAAAACTGTTGATTCATTTTTAGACAAAGAAAGTCTTTCGGATACATATTGATATGTACCCATAAAATTTACTTTTTCTGATTTGGATGTAGATATTCTCTTCATCCACACCATACCCTATTGTCCAGATTTAATGGTATGCGACATGAATCATATCCTTATGTAAAGAAAAGCAAAAAATAATTGTTTCTCATATATTCACATTCTATTCAGCAGAGAACTAAAACAGCTTAATTTTTCATATATAGATCAGTTGAATATATAAGCAAATAAATCAAGTATTTTCCATGAAAACATTCTATAACTTAATCTTTATGAGGACATCAAACATAGCTAAATCTCGTTGTATACAGTACAAAATGCATTAGAAGGTTTTATACTATTAGCCAAAGGTTGCTGATATCGACAAAATATGTAATATAAAATAGAATTTTATAAGACAGTACAGACAATTTTCCTGATAACAAGTCTCTTCTTTTTGTAAACTTTGTCGTTTTTCAATCTTTAAGATTTTATTAATAAAATCTTGATCAAAATAGATTACAAATCATCCTAACAATAAGTCGATCTAACTCAGAATTTAGCGAATTTTATCGTAATGATAAAGTGAAGAAGACTTAAAATAATAACCATCTACATTAGTCGTACTAAAAATTAATTCATATTTTTTTATTTTTATTTCATTTGACATTATTTATTAGTTTTGTTAATCCCCAGTAAGATTTTGTATCAAAGAAAGAATTTAAAACACAAAGCACTCAATTGCTAAGAAAAAACAATAATAAAAAAAACTAAAAACAAACATTCATCAACTATTATCCAATATGAAGAAAGAAAAAAAAAGCTTTTATTTTTTCTTTTCTTTATAATTTTTCTGATGAATGATGATCATGAATAATTTTTATTCTTGTATGATCATCATAAGAATTTTTCATATGTTGTTTAAACATTTTTTCACTTTGATATTTAGAAAAAGCTTGTAATAATTCTGGACAATTTTGTTTTGCTGCTATATCAATAACACTCTCACTTTTATCATTTAACCAAGATGCATCACCTCCATGTCTTTTATCAAAAAAAAATTAAATTTTATTATTTTCTTATTTAATTTCTAATTAAAAAACTAAACTTACTTGAGAAGAATTCTTAATGGTTCAGCACCATCAAGTCCTAATAAACAAAATTCATGTAATGCTGTATTACCTCGTCTACAAAACAAAACAAAATCAATATTACTTAACATTTCGAATATTAATGAACAAAAAAAGAAAAAATACACAGTCAATCTTTGATTTCAATTGATATTAAAATCTCGATATATATAGAACTTACGGTCCTTTTTTATCTAATTTAGCTTTTCCATCTATAATAAGTGTTTCTAAACATTCATAATATCCATTACATATAGCTAATTGTAGAATCGTATAACCTTCTTTATTTTTAATATTAACATCAGCTTTTTCTTTTATTAAACGTTGAACTTCTTTTAATATATCGATTTGATGTGATGATTTTTTATTATAATTATTATTTCTTTTTTCAAATAATCGAATTAATGCATGAGTTGACTATTAATTATAATAGATAATTAATAAGACAAAAATAAATTATAATAAAATATTTTATTCTTACACTCAATATTTTCTGTAATTTCTCTTGGATATTCATCTATGTAAAAAACAAAGTTTTTTTTTGCAAAGAATACTTTTGCCTACTATCAGAATAAATTGTATTTGAATATGGTGAACTTCGTTCACTATTTATTGGATAATATTCATTTGTTTCATTAATAAAAAATGGTGATTGTGAAAGATTTTCTGGTTTACGAAATACTGTTTGTATAGTTACTTGATATTCATTTTCATGTACACTTGCATGAATCATATTACCCATACGTGGTTCACCTAAAAAAATAATTAAATAATATATAAACTTTTTTAATATTAATATATAAGATATATATAGAGAGAATTTATATTTTAGATAATAGTTATTATTCATTATAGCAAAATAAAAGTATTAGTTTGTTTAAATATTAAAGATCTTACCAATCAATGATTGAAAATCTGGTCGATTAACTGCATAAGTTTTTAAATGAGCACAAATATGATCTAATTGTTGTCGCCAATATCCTTTTCCTGGACTTGTAGGTGTTAATATTGGACGATATTCTTTTAATTCTTTTCCATTTAATAGTTTTTTATTTTGTGTTATAATTAAATCAATATCTTTTGCACTTGGATAATAAATTCCATATGTTTGTGTTGCAGCTTCTTTTTTAATTGTTGAATATGATTGATGATAATTAGTTAATGTTATATTTGCATTAAGCCATACAGGATTAACTGAATTACGTGTTAATGTCTATAGAAAATAAGAATCTTTTTTTTTTGTTTTCTTTTTATTCTTTAATTTTAATATACACTAGCAATCATTGATGACGATGAAATATTCAAATCATTTTAAAGACGTGTATCAATAATATGTAATGGTGGTTCAATAACACATCCACATGTTGAACAAAATTTTGCAAATGAATCATTATTAGTATGACATTTTGTACATTGTATTGATGTAGATGCATGATCAGAATATGCACTACACTAATCACAAAAACGAGCATTAGGATTATTTAAACGAAAACATTTTGAACATGTTATCATCATTGTATTTGTTTGTTTTGATATTGTTGGTATTGAAATTGAAGTTCGTTTTTCCTATTGAAATATAAATACGGAAAAAATAAATAAGATTTTTTTTTGTTTACTGGTGAAGTCGATGTTGGTATTAATACATTTTCACAAATATAACATGTTCGTAAATGTATTGAATTTGTTGATTTACAATGAGGACATAGAATTCTTGTCTAGAGAGGAACATTGAAATTTGATTAATTTTTTTGAAACCTGATTTTGAGAAGTTGGTCGCTGTTGTGGTTCTTTGGATACCGGTGTTTCACATACAACACATGTGTTAGAATTAAATAGAATAGTAGATTTACAATTTGTACATATATTAGTCTAATTAAAGAAAAATTATCCGTGTAAAATAAGATAACTACTATTCATTTGTAAAGTAATCAATACTGTCATGTAGAACAATACATGATCCGTCGAAGGATATACTTTTTATCAAATTTTACAGTTCTGAAAAGTCATATCCCCCCCCCCCCCCCAATTAAGGAAATATAACCGATTTTCTAATGTTTTTTTTGTGAAATCCTTCCTTTCCTATCATAATTAGTACAGTTTTTACAAAAAATGGTAGTTTTTTCAGCAAAAAACAATAATTAAAGTTATTAATTAATTATTCATTTTTTAAATGATTTTAATTAAAAACTGACCAAAAATTGACCCCCAATAGAAGGCCATCCAAAAAATAGCGATGTGCCAAGACACTGTATAAGGGCATGCACTTTTATTCTGGGGGAAGGGTTACTAGTTAACAGGTTTTATAGCAATGATGGCTGTTGTAAGATATGACTGTCGAGAACAAAGGCAACCAACTATGCAACTTTTTCCGTGTTCTATAAGTGTGATTCCTGAGAATAGAAAAATATATGACTTTTCTTTTTGTTTTTAGGGTTCAGAACATCGAATGTGATTCGGATATGTAGTTCTATCACATTCAACATATGTTCGGGTTTCTTATAAGAATTAATAGCTTTATCAAGATTCTGAAAGAGAAAAACGTTTTTTTTACTGTTTTCGAAAGACTCATATATATATGTCAGATATAGGTTATTTTTGAGATCATATTACTCATCATTGCTCTTATATATCTTAGCTTGTATAATGACTTTTATGAAAAAATAATTTCGTAAATAACTATGAGTTGTTCAACAGAATGGGATTAGGTAGTTTCTTTTTTTGAAATGAAGGGTAGTCATCGTATCCGATAGAGTTATTTTGAATTACTGAATAATTATCCGGTGGATTATGAGTTAGTTTTTGCCAAGGTAGACCACATTCCCTACAAAATCGTGTATATAAATCATTTGATTTAGGTGCAAAACAATGTGCACATCTAGAAACGAAAAAACAAAGCTCAAATAATAAAATAATTTTGTTTCGATAAACCTTAAAACATTTGTTTGTATTTGAGAATTTGAATATGTATAATTAGTTGGATTTTCTTGTACTAATGAATCAATTGTTGAACGACGCATTGATTCTATATAGAAATTTGATTAATAATAAATAAAATTACTTTTTTTTTTGATACCAGATAATTTTTGTTGCATTTGTTCATTTTCATTTTTGCATCTTTCTCATTAATTCCTATTGAAGTAAAATTATAAAATCAATTAATAAATATTTAACTGAATTAAATATGTAGAAAAAAGTTCGATTGCTTTACTAATGGTATGTTTACAAATTGTTTTTTAGATATATTCTTATCGGTGAAATGAAAAATATTTACAATAAATTATTTTCGTTAACATCTATCTCTATGTAAAGTTTCAAGTCGAAATTTAACAACTAAAATTGAAGATATGTCAATGACTTTGATAAGTTTTGAACTTCATAGAAAAAAAAAACATTTTAATGAAGAAATATCGATAGACAAGCATTAAATTACTACTATTATATTAGTGATCTTCTAATTGAACTCTTGAAATATCGAGACATTCTTGAATATCAATTTTTTTTTAATAAAATTAAAGATAAATATTTTTGCAAACTAAAATATATTTATATTGAAAAATTGAATATTTAATTAAACTTTAACCTCTTGATTAATCATTTATAATGACACATAAACTTACTCATATATCCAACAGATTATTTTATTTTCGTAATATTTTATGAAAGATTCAATGTATTCAGATGTGTTTTCTACAAAAATCGAGTTCATAGTTTCTTTTAATGAAATCTCATCTTTTTCTAAAATATGCTTTTTCAAATTACTTAAATAAATACTAAAAATAATATATCTTTCACTTGATTCAAATTCATTGTACATTTCATATAAAAATAGGTATGATTTCATAATAAAAAAAAAGTATTCTATACAGTATTTCAATAAACATGAGATAAGTAAATTTCTATTGAATTTATTTATTATCTATCATATTGAAATTTTTTACCTTTCGTTCTTGTTGTAATTCATATAAATATCGATTTTCATATTCATCCGATAATGAATGATCTGATGGAATAATTTTAACATCAAATATTTTTGTTACTATAACACTTTCTCGAATTCCATCACTAAATAAATTTTAATAAAAAAAATAAAAATTCTTCAAACTGATTTCTTTGTTTTCCCAAATATCTTTACCGTGATGCCTGCATTAGCTATATCTCTTGGTATATAAAATGGTTTTTTTTTATATTGTATAGTCGAACGTCGTGTTGCTAATGTTATAAATGCATCTGGTTTTGAACCATCTAATGTATAATAAATATCAACATCATTTGTATCACTACGTATTTCAATCAATGTATTTGTATCAATGGAAAATTTTTGTGTATATCCAACACGTAATGGAATTATTGACGGAGCAGATATTGAACCAGCAGTCATTTTGTTTAACAATTCAAAAAGTAATTAAATTGACATGATGAAACCATATCAAACTTTTTTACATCAAACGGTTGTCTATCATTTTGAAATTTTTCATTATGAAGTTGTACTTCACGTTTTTCACGTTCTGCTTGTTCTCTATAATAATAATCAAAATTTCTTTAATCTTGTTCTTTTTTTTTGGGATTCTAAATAAAGACTTACAAACGAACTTTAATTATATTTAATTTATCTTTATATTTTGATGTTACATTAAGAACATTTTGTGAAAGATATTCAGATTGAGCATTAATTTCAGACTAGAACAAAAAGCATATGACAATAAAAAATTATTTTAATCTATATATAAATAATTATGTTGGATTCATCGTCTCAGTCCAGAGGAGTATTATATATAAGATAAAAGAAAAAAATAATAAGTGCAGAAAAATGTGCTTATGGAAATATTTTATCTAAGAAATTTAATAATGAATAGAAAAACACGAAGAGAAAAAAAAGGAGAAGCAATAATAAATCATATGTATTAATACCAATTTTTTCCGTAGCTGAACTAGTCGAATCATAGAATAATATGTACGCGATATGTAAGAGAATGAAATTATTATTATTATTATTTTTTGTATTTTTTTTCTTTACCTTTTCTTTTTCTAATTGTTCACAACGACGTGATGTTTCTTCAAGTGCAATTGTACATGTTCTAATTGATGTGTAGCTATACGAATACGTTCACATACATCATCATATTTTATTTTTAAAGATTTATAATCATTTTCAAATTCATCTGCACGTCGTCGTTCTTTTTCCAAATCAACATTTAAATTTGGCTCAATCTATATTTATTAATAAATATATTAATTAAAACATACAAAATTTTAAACAAAAAAACAAAATAATTTGTTCTTGACAGAAAATAAATCATGGCTATATATATATACGATAAAATTTTCTCATTATGACATGAATAATAACATACAATTTCCATAATGTGAGTAACATAAATGATACTATGATAAACAATATTGACTAATTAGATAAAAAAAAACAATTTTACATAACAACAATAGTATTTGATATAACATCTTGTCGATATTTTTTATATTAATAGCTTATGATATTAAATCGTGTGCAACACGAACTGATGTACCTCTGATTAAAAAAAAAATAACGTGCAATTAATTAATTGTTGGAAAGACGAAAATAGAAATTGAACACTTTTGAAGAGTTCTAATGGTACTCAAATTTGAGACGTTTTGCTTTAGAAATGTTTTCATTTTTTGTTTATTAAATAATATTAAGTCGGTATTCATTGTAATGAATTGTGAGAATGATTTCACGTATGTCGGCGGCATTCAATATGATGGCGTCTTGCGCCATCGGCACTTTCAGGAGTTTTTTTTCTTTTATTACAATATGTGAACCACTTATGATAAGAACTTTTTAGCAATAACATTTTTGATCGAAATGACTACCTTGACTTTTTTGTTTTTTACTTTAAATTTGATAAAAGAAATCTGTAAATGTAATCTTTGGGCGATTACATGATATAATTAGTGTTGCTAATAGAGATCTGCAAACTGGTCCCGTAATGTTTTCTGTTCCAGAACTAGACTACCTATTTCCATACTTATTATTCTGTTCTGACTAATGATCTACAAATAGGCCTTTTTTATTTATTTATGCCCAGGTCGAGAAGTACGAGTGGGTCCCGGCAGAAAAACACTGGAAGTTATTGGAACAGGGTGGCAGTATTCCGGCTGGACACTTTTAGGATTTTCTCGGTGACTTCCGATCAAATTCCTCTCGTTTTCTTCAGGAAGTTGTCCGGAAAAAATCCGAAACTTTTCCGGCCGGAATACTGCCACCCTGTTCCGGCGACTTTCAGTGTTTTCGTGCAGGATACGGTGAATTTTCCCGCATCTTTCCTACAGGATCCGGTGACCGGAATCTTCGACCTAGGATTGTTAATTTCTCAAAATCATCAATATTCATTTTATATATATTCAAAAAATCATACAGATTATAAGAAAAGTCGTTTTTTTTTCTAGAAACAATAAAAAGTTTTAAATTGAAACCAGGACCAAAAAAAGAAAAGATGATCCCACCGATACCTAGTTGTTAATCATCGATTGATTGTTTTATTCGATCTATTTTAGGATATATTTTTACTTAGTTTCTATACAAATATAATAAGATATTTAAGTATTAAGAAAATGAATAATATTCATAAGTTAATATTTACTTTTTCTTTTTCATGTAATTGTTTTTGTGCATTATTTAATTCATATTTAAGTGTATTTGTATGTTCAATTAATTCATTATAACGTTCACGTAAACGTAATAATTCAAATTCAAGTTCAATATTTTTATTCTAATATAAAATATATTTACATAAAGAAATTTATTAAAAGAAATTTATTCATCATACATCAATATTTGATTCTTCATGTTGAGTTCTAATTCTATACGAAAAAAAAAATCATAGGAAAAATAAAATTCGAATATTTTTTGTTTGTGTCTATACTTTAATATTTGATTTTCATTTGTTAATTTCATAAGATTTTGTTTATTAATATCATCTAATCGTTGACTACATGTTAGAATATGTTTATGTAATACATCACATTTTAATTTAAGATTTTCCATATGACCTTTAATTCCTTCATCTGAATTATCAAACTAAAAAATTATGAATATTTTAAATATCAATCCAAAAAAAAGAATGCAATTATACTGTTTGTTCAAATTGAATAGTTTTTTTTTCTCTGTAATTTCAAGTTCTTGACGAACAAGATCAATTTCACGCTCAAGTGAACGTTGTTGAATAATAGAAAATAATTTTGTTTGTTCAATATCTGATATATTTTGTGATTTTTCCATCGAATATTATTTAAATTAAATTTTACTTTTTTTTTGTTTTTAAATTTTAATAATACATACTAAATATTTTAAAAGATCATTTTCTTCTTGTTGCATAGTTTCAAATACTAATTGATGTATAGATAAAGATGATAATGTTGTTGTTGTTATTTTTTGTTGATCCAATTTTTGATTAATATATGTTACAATATAATCAAGTTGAGAACGAAATGTTTCAATTTCATGTTGTAATTCAATATTTTGTTCCATAAATTTTTTTGATAATTCTTCAGCTTCTAATAAAATATAGAATTGAATTAATTAATTAGTTATTTCTATTCTCTATGCAAAGTTTCAAAATACAAAAAAAAATTAGTCTTTCTCATATTTAAGAAATGATAAATTAATTTTATTATATTTGTTAGAATATATCTGAGAATAAAAGTGAATGTTTTATCTCAAAAGTATGCAAGTCAACATATATTTATCAGTATTTTAGTATCATTAGAAGATAATAAGAATGAAGCAAAGATCTTCTATAGAGAATTTTTTACTATAATTTTGATATCAAATATCAATTTTTTTCTAGGCATGATAAATTTGCATTTAAAAAAAAAGAATTGCTAAAATTAGAAGTAACTTAACAGGAAAAAAGGGAATTACGATATTGAATTACAAGCCTACCGTAAGAATATAACATTCTCCGTTTAATAATGATTTTTAATTCTAACCGAGAATTTTTTTTTCTTCTCTTCTTATGTCCATCATCAAAACTATAGTTAGTATATCTTTAGTGTTTAATTCATTGAAGGATTGCTTTCGTTAGTAAATGAACTTAAGTAATAACTGTCTTATTCGATCTTATTGTTTAACCTCAGACGAATCCGTACAACTAATTATAATAATAGTTGAGAAGTTCGATATACGATAGTTTTTACTAAAGATATATCTTCTTTGTTATTCGATAAACAACAATAAAAAGTATACAATAGAAGAAACCATCAACCTCGACATCATTATTATTACATGTAACTAATATCCATTTCAGAGTTAAATGGCCGTGAGCATTTTTTGAACAACTTTTGATAGGAACGAGTTAGAGATCTCCGGTTTTCACCGTTGGAAAGAGCAGATGAAGACGCATCGAATTATATATATAGAATGATTTTTCTAACTACTTCCCTATAGGTATTATATAAAACTTCAAGAAAAACAGCATGCTTCTCAAATGTCATGATATCAATTTGTTGATTTTCAAGAGTGCTCTAGAATGGCCAAAGGAAGAGCTACAAAACTATATCAAGACGCTGTTCCTAACTACTACCAGTATGATATGTAAAATATCGGAACACAATTTACCACCTCATTTTTTTTTCAACAAAATAATCGAAAAATGTAAGTTTTTGTCGTATTTTGATAGAAAAGCCACTTTTTTAACATAGGAGAAAAAAAGGAAATTCTTTGAAAACTTTTGACTAAACCTATAGGAAAATAGTTAAAAAAAATCTTTATAGTTCGATGCGACTTCATCTGTTCTTTCCAACGGTGAAAATTGGAGATTTCTATCTCGTTCCTATCAAAAGTTATTCAAAAAATGCCCACGGTCATTTAACTCTGAAATGGACATTAATAAATGTTGTACAGTTTTGACTCATATTTAACCTATTTTATTTCATTGCTTTATTCTTAAACAAAATTCTAAGTACGGAAATTTAACTAATTGATGTATGTTCTTATGCAGAAGCATAATTTTTGTAAAAAAGAAATTGAATTTTTATTTTGTGATTAATCTTAACGTTTATTATAACATTTACTTCAAATCTGCAATAGGTTTTTAGATTTAATCTTACTGCTACTATATATATGACTATAAGAAATCAAATATATAGATATTTTACATATTCCAATCAAAACTATAAACAATGAAATGAAAAAAAGAGAAATGTTGTTTTTAACAATCATAAAAAAAGTTTACAAAATATATTTTGAAATGTAATGACAGAATCAAACAATAGTAAAAATCTCGAGTTCGAGATTAATCCGATGAGCTCTAATAAAGATCTTACTAAGCAAAAAAAAAACAAAATTCGATATCAAATTAGCCTTGTTTCTATTGTTATAATTTGATTATATTTGAAGTTGGTTAACTGTAGGAAAAATTCTCCAATTAATCGAAATTACCTTGATCAATAGTAATCACAAGGTTAGTTTATTTTGTATAATGAGATATGTAAAAGTATACTTCATTCATACCTTGGTTAAAATTTAGATTTAGATGAGACTTTAAATTTTTCATTATTATAATGTATACATAATAATATGCTTATTCTCAATTACATATAGAATCCAGTTTGTTGAATAGTAAAAAGGTTTCATAGAAAAACAAAAAAAAAAAAAAGAAAATATGATCATTAGATTTCTTTTTCTACAAATAAAATATTTGATGTCTATTATTTTAACTTTTAGAATATAATCAAATTTATTTATTTATTTACTTGATGAATAATATTAATCATTAATATGATTATTTATTTGAGTTGATCGTGTATATGTTTGATCAATAATATGTATAAGTCGATTAATATGTTCATTTTTTTCTTCAACTATTTTATCTAATTGTCGTTTAAATTCATTTTCAAGAAAATGATTTCGATTTTCAAGTATAAGATTTTTTTCTTGAAGATAATATACATCACGATGAGCATAATTTAGTTTTTCACGTATTTGCTAAATAAAAACAAAAAAACAACAATTCAAATGTAATCGATCTCTAGATCAAAAAGAAAAAAAATATCAACAAGATACTTATTACATATAAATAGAATAGCCGGGCTGGGAAAGATATCTTACAAGTGTTTAAAGAATGCAATAACAATATGTAGAAATTAAATCTCATTCCCATACACATACTTCAGAATAACAATACAAAAAAAAAATATATATATATATATTTCGAATACATAAAAACATATTAGTTATAACCCTTTTTGTTTTGTTTAAGAAAATATGAATATATTCTATGTAGCAGAAAAAAATCTAAATCATATTTTGAATAAACAATAGTTAAATATGTATTAACAGAATTTTTTTTGTAAATATTGAATAAATTATTGTGAATATTATTTATACAAACTTTTAATCCTTCAGAAAAATCTTTATCATCTATATTAAGATCTTGTAATAAATATCTAAAACGTCGTAAAATTGCAATCATTGTTTGTCCTTTTAACCATAATTTCATAATTATTTCACGTTCTTGTCCTTCATGTAAATGATAATCACGTTCAATGGCATTCATAACATCTTGATAAGAAAGAAGATTCTATAACAATAATATTTAAAAGTACATAATTTATAACAAGAAAAAAAATTCTATTATTTTCAAAAGACTTTATACTTTTAAATTAATAGATTCAGCAACCGCAACAACTTGACTTGTTTCTAATGAACGATTTAATCGTGAATCTTGATTCGATTGAGATAAAATTGGATTTTGTTGAATAATGTTTTCCATTGTATTTGTATTTTTTTTTAATTTATTCTTAATTCTTCATGATATTCATTTATAATCTATTATGTAAGAAGAAGAATAATAATAATAATTTTCTATTTCTTAATAAATAAATTTTTATACTTCTTGTGATGATGAATGTTGATTGGTAATAAGTTTTTCTTCGATCCATTTATTCTATCTGTTTGTTTGATTAATTTAATATTATGATCATGATTATTCAAAACCTCAAAGAAAACAAATATAAACCAACCTTGACAATCACGAACATCTTACTTCATTCATTTTTCCTTTTTTTTTTTTTTCCTCTCTTTCTCTCGTCTTTTCTCTTGATAAATAAATCAAAACAACAAAAGAAATGATGTATG